AATAAAAATGATTATTACTATGATTATATGATTATTTATTTCTTCTCCTTTCTCCTCCTTCCCCCTTCCTCTTCCTTCCTCCACCCTTCTTCTCCTTTCCTTCTCCTTTTCCTTCTTTTTTTCCTTTTTCCTCATCCTCCTTCTTCTGCTTTTTCCCTCCTCTCTCTCCATTTTTTTTTTTTTTTTGGTCAGTAGGGTTGAAATCAGGCCCTGGGCACTATCCCTGAGCTCTTTAGCTCAAGGCTAGTCCTCTAACACTTTGAGTCACAACAGGTGGATCTGGTGGTTGATTGGAGGTAAGATAAGGTTTTCTGGTGGTGGATTGGAGATAAGACCTTTCCCTGCCCTGGCAGGCTTTGAATGGGGATACTCAGATCTCAGCCTCCAGAGTAACTGGGATTATAGGTGTGTGCTACCAGTGCCTAGTTTCTTTCTTCTCTTTTTGAGATGAGTCTGGCTACCTATGTCTCCAACTCACATGCTCAAATGATTCTTCTGACGCTCCCAAGTAGCTGGGACAACAAGTGTACCACCATGCCCCCTAGATACTACTTTTTGAATCAAGGCCCAATCCTTCATCTGTGCCCTGGGCAGCATTCTTCCTGTTTTCTCAGAATAGGTGAGCACACTCATCTCTTGTTTTGCTACCCAGTATAAAAGGGTCCTCCTCCACGTGTTTCCTGTTCTTTAGCATTCTCTCCCCTCACCCCTCTCCCCCATTCTAACCAAACCTCTCCAAACAGTGTATACTCTCCCTCTCTCCACTCCTGTATTTTTCACCTCAACCTACTCTGAATGGTCTTCACCTACAACCCTTTATAGAAATGGCTCAAAGATGGGCTGGGAAGGTGGCTCAGTGGTAGAGCGCTTGCCTTGCATACATGAGGCCCTGGGTTGGATTCCTCAGCACTATATAAGCAGAAAAAGCCAGAAGTGGCGCTGTGGCTCAAGTGGTAGAGCACTAACCTTGAGCTGAAGAGCTGAGGGACAGTGCCCAGGCTCAGAGTTCAGGCCCCACGACCAAGAACAACAACAAATCAAACAAACAAAGAAATGGCTTAAAGATTACCAAGGGCTGGTTCATTACCAATATACCTGACTGGGCTTTCATCCATAATTGACTTAATCTCATGCCCATCAACAAATGGGGAGTATTTCCTGCTAAAACATGTTTTCTCAATGCCTAAACACCATATCCTCTTGATTTTCCTTCTTCCTTCCTAGATGCTGTTTCTCAACCCTCTTGCCTGCTTCTCCTGCACTGATATATGTTGGCACTTCTGGAAGGTTCCGTCCTGGCTCATTTTTCTCATGTTACAGTCTCTTCCTATCTTTCCCTCCAACAGAATTTCATCCATAGTTTCTATGTCTGTCTGTCTTTCTGTCCCTGTCTGTCTGCTGCCCTGCCTGTCTGTCTATTTACCTATGTATCTTGACTCCTACATTTATGTCACTAGCCCAGACTACCCCCTCTGAGTGTCACAACCACCTTAGCCAATTTCTCTGTTCAAATTTCTGCTTAAAGGTAGCAAACATACATAAAACCTGACAAGTTTCAAATTGAACTCTTCATCTCCTCCCACAAATCTTTTTCTCCTGCAGTGTTTCTTAACTTCCTAATGGCTCCCCAATGTACACAGCTACTCAAGCCACATTCTGCAAGTCATTCTTGATAGTTCCTTTCTCCTACTGATTTTCCTGTCCTTCAATCCAGCCTCAAGATCTGTCCATTTCACCTCCCAAATGTTAGGTTTTTAAAAGAGGCCGAGTAAGAACAGCACCACACACATGGTATTCAGGTAAGGGGTAGGTTTATTCATCATTCTGGCTGGCACCAGGCCATGTTGGCCCTCCATGCAGCTGGGAAAGACCTGGGAAAGGACTGGGAAAGAGGGCTTCTGGGCCTGGGCTAGGCCTTATCTAGGGTATGGGCAGAGAAAGGTGTGGCCACATTGAATTCAGATGTGACCTCAGCAGATGCAGATGTGACCTCTTCCAGGTGTGCCAGTTGCCTTGGTGACACAGGTACTGGATGGAGACTTTGCTGAGAGGAGGGTGGAGTCTGCTCGCTATACAGGAGTGGACCTTACACCAAACACTTCTCAAATTCATCTATTTATCTTCACCTCCACCACCATTACCTAAGTCCCAATCACCATCTTCTCTTCTTACGTTTCAGCTTTGGTAACGGCTCCTAATTGGTCTCCTCACACCCATGATTATTTCCTTTCTATCCATTCACTGCACCACCCCAGAGAGATCTTAAAACACACATCTCCTCTTGTCCTGGCTCAGTTTAACTTCCTTGTGGCTCTTCTAGCTGTCCATAATAATGCCCCAAACAATCCCCATGACTTCTTAGTGAGGTAGCTGTATCCATCTTTTAGGCTGATTCTACCCACTCACCTTGCTTTGTCATTGTTGTTGACAGTACTGGGACTTGAACTCAGGGCTCGGGCACTGTTCCTTAGTTTTATCACTCAAGACAAGCATCTTACCACTTGAGCCATAGCTTTGGCAAGGCTTTGGGTGTTAATTGGAGATAAGAGTCTCAGCACTTTCTTGCCTCAGCTGGCTTTGAACTGTGATCCTCAGATTTCAACCTCCCCAGAGGCTAGGATGACAGGCCTGAGCCACCACTGCCTGGCCCCACCCACCACTGCCTGGCCCCACCCACCACTGCCTGGCTCCACCCTCACCTTCCTTGTCTCCAACTGGAGAATTCTCTTTGCTCCCAATCAGGTCAAGCCATTCCTTCTCTGAGGTACTCTGATCTGGTTCCTCCACTTGGCTTCTTCAGAAGACTACCCTGACCATCTGTCCATATTCCCATTGGCCTATGGTTCCTCCTACTTTTCCTTTGCTGTACCTGCCACAATGTATCATCTTGTATTTGTAGTTTTTCCTTCCTGTAGAACTGTAATTCCCAGGCGGACAGGCACCCTGGCTGTCCTGGCCACTGTTCTTCATCCAATACAGTGAAGATGGAGTATCTGCTGTCCTTCTTACTCCAACAACCCCAGGGCAGCTCTGTGTAGCTGTTCATCATTTTGACAGTCTTCTTTTAGTGCCAAAGCGCAACAACAGCGCATCTTCCAGTGGTTCATAAAGCAAGAATCCAGTACTTGGGAGAAGGTGGTAGTGGAGTTGGCACTAATGATGGACTTGACCACTTTCCCAGAACATTCGGGCTAGACAGATGTTCTCTGGATATTTGCTAGCATAATATACAAGCCAGGCTAAAGCTGGTGTTTTTAGCATGACAGGCTGAATCCCTGCCCTACTCTTAGGATTTGCCTTCTCCTACTGTCCTCCTGGTTCTCATTTGTTTTTCGTTCATTTAATTATGGAGAAGACCTCTATTCACTAGTGTGAAATTGTTGAGGACAATTTCAGGGCCCCTATTAGTATACTAGGAGCAGGAGCTTAGATATAGGAGTTGTTCCAAGAGAACCATAATGGCAAGACATAGTGTCTTGAGAATGGTCTGGACTTTGTAGAAGACAAATTGAAAATGGCTGGCTGTCAGAAAGATAGGATAAGGCTGGGCGCCAGCGTGGCTCACACCTATATTCCTATCTACTCAGGAAGCTGAGATCTGAAGATCACCGTTCAAAGCCAGCCGGGGCAGGAAAGTCCCTGAAACTCTTATCTCCAATTAACCACCAGAAAACTGGATGTGGTGCTGTGGCTCAAGTGGTAGAACACTAACCTTGAGCTGAAGAGCTCAGGGACAGTGCCCAGGCCCAGAGTTCAAGCCCCATGACTGAGAAAAAAAAAAGTAGGATGAGGTCGTTTGGAGAAGACCAAAAGGTCCTCCCAAAGACAAAAACTTCAGGAACCACGGGTAGGAAGGACCAGATGGCTGCCCACGTTGACAGCAATGCCGAGTGGTTTTCTACTGGCCCGGGCAGGATAGAGTGGGCCAGGAACCCCTTTTTCAGAGGAAGACTTACTACCTCTCTCCAGAAGAACCAACCTTTCGAGCTCTTTCCGGAAGGAGACACACCTTTCTGAGGAAGGAGGAGGGCAGGATTTCCATCATTACTCGGGCCCTATTACTACCCAAACAAAACAACTATGTAATTATCTTCCGCAGGAAAGGCCCACAAACAGGCTGGGCCCAGGCTGAACCAGGGATGAGCCATCCCTGTAAAGCTTAGGGAAAAAAAAGGAACCTCCCCGCCATCCGCCTCTGGCCAGGGTTCTGTCTCTATCAGGGCCTGGGGACTGATGCATCCTCCTTGCCTTCCAGCCCTGTCTCCGGGGCCTCAGGTGTGTGCTCCGAGTGGGCCACAAATCCTGGCTTTTGTTTTTTTCTTTTTGGCTTGAGCCTGGGTGGTCCCGGCCCGGAGCCGGCAGCCTGCGGCGCGCGCCGGGGCTGGAGCGCGCGCCCCAGGGACTCCCACCCGCGCAGAGCGAGGGCGGGCTGCGCTCGTGCCACGCCCCCGGGCTCTTCCAAGGCCGGGGATCCCGCACCCGGCTGCGGTGAACTTGGAGCCCGGGTGGGAGCGAAGGATCCAGCCCGGGAGGCGGCGGTGGCGGCTTCCTGGTTTGCAGCTCGCCGGGTGGGGGAGAGCGAGAGCCCGCGGAGGCGGGGGCAGGAGGAGCAGCCGGAGGAGGCGGGGAGGAGACGCTCGGGGCTGAGGCTCACCGGACGGGTCGCTCCGGCTCTCTCCGGGGAGAGACGAGCTTCCCGGCCCTGGAGAAGGGGCGAGCCCCACGCGAGCCCCCGGGGAGCTCCGCGCCGAGGTCGACAGGGCCGTTCGGGCTTCCTCCGCCCTCGGGGGCGCTCGGAGCCCGGCTCCCCTCCTTTCCACCTCGAGAGGAAGGGTGGGAGGGGAGGAGGGGAGGGGAAGGTCCCGCAGAGACGGCAGAATGGCCGGTGCGGGGGGACTCGGGCGCTGCTTCCCCCGGGAGCTGCGGCCACGCCTGCCACGAGGGCTGCCCTGAGCGCGGGCCACCTGCTCTCCAGTGCGAGCCCGCGCGGCGCCCCCGGGGCCCGGGCGGCGGCGCCAGCGCCGGCATGTCGTCCGGCACCATGAAGTTCAATGGCTATTTGAGGGTCCGCATCGGCGAGGCCGTGGGGTTGCAGCCCACCCGCTGGTCCTTGCGCCACTCGCTCTTCAAGAAGGGACACCAGCTGCTGGACCCCTACCTGACGGTCAGCGTGGACCAGGTGCGCGTGGGCCAGACGAGCACCAAGCAGAAGACCAACAAACCCACCTACAACGAGGAGTTCTGCGCCAACGTCACCGACGGCGGCTCCCTGGAGCTGGCCGTCTTCCACGAGACGCCCCTGGGCTACGACCACTTCGTGGCCAACTGCACCCTGCAGTTCCAGGAGCTGTTACGCACGGCCGGCACCTCGGACACCTTCGAGGGCTGGGTGAGTCGCGGCGAGCTCCCTCTCCACTCTGGGTCCGGTCGATCTCTTCTCTCTCCTCCCAGTCGCCTCAAAACTTGCCCGGCTTCCCGCGTTCCCCTCCCTCCGCAGCGGAGGGAATTCCCTCCAGACTTTGTCCCGACCCAGGTGGCCGCAGGCCGGGTGACGCGCGGAGGTGGGTGTGTGCGGGCCGGGCGCGCGCAGGTGTGGCTCCGAGATGCCAGCCTGGATGGGGTCCCCTTTCTTGACCTAAGGCTTTGCCTTGCCGGGAAGCTGAGCAGGGGCCGCGGGGTGTCGCGTCCCCTCTCCTCCCCCCCCCCCGACCTCGCACCAGAGGTTGGACTGGGCATCCCAACTCTGGCCACCCAGGTTAACGCTCAGGAAAGGCAAGGAGGATGGTGGGAAAGTGACATGATTTGAGAAAAGTGCTCCAAGCACTTCTTTGGAGAAAGCTCTTACATACATTCTCGCGAGTATTATTCATAGTGTTTATGGATCCAGGTTGGTTGGGCCGCGTGCAGGCGTGCACACGTGTTAGAGCATGCACACCAGAGGTATAGAAACTTTCACTGGCAGGGACCAGAGTGTCTGGGTTGGCACGTTGGGGGAGGATGTTGTGTAGCTGTTTTGGGCGGGGGGGCGGGGTGGTTATCTGAGTCTTGCAGCTGACTCCAGGCCATCGGAGCCTGTGAGACTTGCATCTGCGTTCAGGCCGCTGTTGGTCTGAGAAGAGGCGGCTAGGTTGTTGGAGCCCCACTCCCCCTACACACCTGCTGATGCCTTCCCGGGCTATGGACATGTCACGGCGAGAAACTTCTCTCCGGCCTCTGCTTTTCCCATAGTTCCCCGTGAGATAAAATTCCTGCTGTAAATGAAATCCCGAGCACCCTCTACACAGGGACCAAGTGCTTTTGTTTCTGTGTGCTACCACTTTGTGCTGCGGGAGTTATCTGTCTCTCTTGGAGATGAAATGATAATTTTAATGACCTAGTCTGGTTTGGCAAAATGGAGCACAGGCTTTGAAGGCTCTGAAGAATTTCCTAATGATTTCAGTTTTGGAAGAAGCCAGTTTTGAACCCAGCATGTGAATCTCAGTATTAGAAATCTGTGAGATTAATTTAAAGTGATGGAGTCAGATAGATAATGACAAAGAATGATTTAGGTATTTCATACTTGGGGGAAATGGATCATTTTCCCCTGTATTATGAAAAATTGCAGACAGCTTGTGGAGCTAAGCCTTTCTTTGAAATCGAGGAGAAAGACTGCCAAGGCAGTTTAACCTTATCATCCAATTATATAGAGTCCATTTCTTGTCATCCTAGCTTATTTTTGGAATTTAGAAGTGAACTACAAAGGAATGGCTAAAATATCACTACGATTTATCCTAGATAAATTATAATCCTATATGAACAAGAAGTGAATGTAGGAATGTAAATGGATTTATTAGTGTCTGATTAAGGATTAGAGTGGGCAAAGTTCTGGAGATCCTAGATTCTAAGTAAGGTGGGATTGATTAGCCAATCATCATGATCAGCATGTTTGGCTGGAGAGAGTCTAGATTGGCCCTTCTCACCCCTAGTGTGAACAATTGAATCACCTAGGAACTTAAAGATCCCCACTCTTAAGGACTTCAGGCAGGGCTCTGGCTGTGGGACCTCAGCATAAAGACTTGCAGGTTCCTCAGGTGAATTTGTATGTTCAGTTTGGGGCCTTATTGAAAGCCAGCCCATGAGGACTGAAGAAGCTTGAGTGTAGGCCAGTGGCAGGTGACCTGACCAGGTGGGATGAACAGAGCTGTGTAGTGATCTCCTGTATTGATATTTACTAAGTTAATCAAGATTTATATGTGACTTAACATTTCTAAATCCACAATTGTTCAGATTATACTTAGGTGTTTAATATAACCCACTGATGGCGTTTTGGAAAATGAGGTTGTTTAGTAGGATAGGGTAATTCGTTTATGTATTAATTAGTAGGTCTTGAGTATTTTGAAACTGGAGATGTGTTGGAAGATAGAATGAGCAAGTGTGATTTCTTTTTGATAAGAATCTTTTGCGTGTGTAGGTGTGCATGCACCTCAGTACTGGGGCTTGAACCAGGCCTGGGCACTCTTAGCTTTTTTTGCTCAAGGCTGGCATTTTACCACTTCAGCCACAACTTCGGTTCTGGCTTTTTGGAGATTAATTGGAGATTAAAAAGTCTCCTGCCTAGGCTGGATTTGAATCATGATCCTCAAATCTTAACCTCCTGAGTAGTTAGGATTACAACAGGTTGAGCTATGCATATCACATGAGAAAATAATCTTAATGTTTGGGAATATATGAAATGCTTATTTTTTAAAATTATTCTTTACAGAT